TTGCCTGTTAAAGGTAAAGTCTGACATTTTGTGCTCACTTCAAGATCTTTTTTCTACCATTGCCTGGTTTCTATCACAATTTATAGGTTTGTAGAGTTCCAGTGGCTGTATTTCTATGAATTGGTTTTGGTCAATCAGAATTTACCATTAGACCTTAGGAGAGCATAACAGGAAAGAACTGAGCAGCCGGAATATGAAAACAGAAAATATGCCCCCCCCCCCATTTGTGTGTTTCACTCTTGCACCATTAATTTTTTCACACCTTTGTGCACTACAAGCAGTATAAAGACAGTGTATTTTTCGTGATAGAGGGTTAATTTTTAGACATGAGGAAAAAAAAAAAATGATACAAAAGGCATTTCCCCACCCCCTTAAAATATTGCACCTCCTTCAATTCCTGCCCTAGGTCTTGTCTTGGGCCATTGTTGCCTTTTGACAGATCCTGGAAGCCAGATAGAGTTCTCTGCATGTTTTTTTCAACAAATGGCAGCCTTTGGCATCAGTAAAACATGGCGTCTCTGATTTTACTGCTTTGCTGTGTATAGCCCGTGAATAGTCCCTGTGGCAGGATCTCAGATTACATAAATGGCTTAACAAGGAGGAAGATATTCCTTGCCAGAGCCTATGAGAACGGAGGATTCAGTCCAGGACATAGGAAATCATAGCTCTCTTTGCAATGAACAGCAGCCTCCACAGAAGCAAAGAAGACAATAAAACGTTTTGTGGCAGTCTCAATAAATTCTCTGTACAGGCTTAGTTTTTATGGTACTAGTATCATTACATAATGCATTTACTTTACATGAAGAAACAACGTAGAGCATTTACTGATATAGGCATATCAAATGCATAATTACCAATATTATGGTCCCAGTTCCCAGGACACTGTTAACCCTGCCCAACTTTCTGGGGGGGTTGCGCCCAAACCATGCCCACTTTACATATTGGTCCCACCTGTATGTAAATAAGCAGGGACTGCCTACAAGCAGCCCTGAACCCTGAAATTTGATGCCTTTTTAGTTGCTGTTTAGAATAGATGCTCCCAGGACAAGCATAAGGACAAAACATCAGCAGGACAGAGTGCCAAGATGTGAGACTGCAAATCCATGACAGTTGCCATCCATGCAAATATTCCCTTACCTGCACAAAAAGCTGTAAATGCATTATTTGGTTCTGTATTTACATATGCAAAGGTATTGTCAGCCTTTTCTGTCATCGACAAAATTAAGCTAAGCGAGGCTTACTAGTGACTGCCTCCTGCACCCTCTTGAAGAACTACTTAGGGAAAGTCACCTGTGTGTAGGGAAAATGTCTTTCTGAAAGAAAATCAAGCTTGTGTTCGGTTACTGGATGCTTTAATTGTGTTCAGGAATAACAGGCATCACATTTTTCATCAAATATAAAGTGCATCAGTTACAGAATAGCAGATTCAGTTTGGTTATATACACTGTAAAGAGGGATAGGGAACTGGGAAAGAGCATTGGATGGGAGGGGGACACGGGTAGGGAAGGGGGGGTATAGATTCGGTCCTATGTCATAGAAAAATATATTCTTACTATAGTACAGATTTTGTATTCCAGAGTCTTTTCAGATTCCTTGACTTTCTTGGGATTAGGATAGAAGTGTGGCCAGGCTATGTGCATTCAAATATACTCATATTCTTTACAAGTCTTAAGTAAAATTTTTAAACAAGCCTTCAATAACCTCTTTAGCTGCAGGCACTGTAGAGCAATTCATCCTCAAGTTTCACAAGAGCAGCACTAAAGACTTTCAAGTTGGGCTTTGGCATTCTGAACTCTCCTTCTTCCTGTGCTCCTACTTTGTGTCTAGATTAGAGATTAGAAGGCTGGGAGGCCACCATGTTTATACTGGAGGGGGGAGCAGGGAGAGCTGATTTGTTGAGTCACCACTGGGATTTGAATGACTTTCTGGCCGAAACGTAAAGATAGTTCTTCTGTAAAATTTGAGGATAAATTGTTCTACATTGCCTGCAGCTACCAAGCTCACCGAAGGCTTGTTTTAAAGCTCACTTACTGCTTTTGAAGAATATTGAAGTATTTGAATTTCTATGCCTGGACACAGTATTACTTTTAAAGAAAAAAAAACACTTAAACTAATATACATCAGTTCAGAATGTCATTTTCAGAACATTGAAGGCTTGTATAAAAGGGTTTCCTTTTGATCTATAACTTGCATGTCCTGACTGTCTGGGTCAATACAGGCTAGCACAATTGCAGGTTATATTCTATTACCCAGTGCGTAAATTCTTTTTTGTGTAAATCAGAGCTTGAGCCTAGACTCCCTGCTTTGCATATGGCAGAAATTGTGCCCTGCACCTGGCACACCAGACCATTTTACTCTGTAGAAAATGGGATATTAAATGCCGAGTGATATTGAGCACACAGGAATGTATACAGATTAAGCCCTTTTTGGAATTATATCTCCTGGACATTAACTGGTCATTGGCTTCAAAAGCAAAGGCTGCTTTGATTATATAGAAGCTCTGGGCAGTTCCCTATGGGGTCTCACTGTTCAGGGGACAAAGGATAGGGGACAGTTGAGTATTGAGAAGATATCAGTGGACTTTGGGTGGCCTTTTAATTATGTACGTCTTACATTCTTCAAAAGTGGCATCAACTGAATATTCTGGTTAAGAATAATAGTAAAAGTGGTGTTACAATGCAAATAATTGCATGGAAGTGTGGAGCAATTTTATAACTACAGGAAATACCTGAATTACTATACCCAATAAAACTTGCCAGTCAAAACTTATCATCAATAGAATTAACCATCAGTCTTTTAGGTGCAATGGTCCTTAACTACCATCTCTTGGTTGGCGACATACTGGGGTCATAAGGGATTGATTCACATCAATGCAACTTGAAATCAAATGTGTTTTGTATGTTTGCATTCTTTGAGCTTTTACTTGATAGAGACAGTTTTAAAGCGGAACTATTGGCAAAACCAAAAATAACACATTCCTAGGATTAACACAACAGTTCTTGTTCCCCCCGTAACAAAGATTTATTACTTGTTGATCCTGCCAGTAAATCAGATGATATTACACTTCCTGTAACAGAGCTGTTCATTCTGCAGTGAAATCTCACAGCAGAGTTGTAGTCTCAAACAGTCATGTAGTCTTAAAGGGGAACTAATCCCTCTTATTCTTTTCAGCCAAGGAAGCATCTAAAGCTGGGTACACACTATAATAAAGTTGGAAGAAAAATTTTGTATTAGGAATGATTGTCCAATTTGTGCATAGTGTGTATACAACTTTTGACATCTGATTCAGACTTTACAAACTAGAATTTCCTGAAGAGACAAACTCCAAATTTGTTCTTGTACGTGAACAGAACTAACGATTTTCGTTTAACTTGTACTGTTTTCGTAGAAGAAAATTGGGTTACGAAAGACTGCGCATGATCAGAAACGATAAACAACAATAATCTACTCTACAACATTTTTATGTTTAAAGTCTTTGTCGTTCAGGAATTTTCATAAAAATTATTACCATCCTTGAGTTTGACTTGCTGTGGAAACATTGAGGAAAACTGGGCGATTGTTCGCCTGAATTTCTTATAGTGTTTTCCCAGTTTTAGCCTCTGTTTGATCTGCAACTGCCATGGTGCTGCACGTGTGATCAGTTATGACTCCAGCCATTTGATGGTTTGACAGTTTGGTTAAGAGCACAAGCAAAAGGGACAGTTGGTAATCCGGCATACTGGGAATGTGACTCTTTTTTTTTTTTAAATCATTTAATTGATGGGTTTTAGTTCCGCTTTAAATTAATTTTAAGTCCCATAGAAGCAAGTTAGAGCCCAACCATAGATAACACCTTTTAAGCAGTTACATTAAAGGTTTTTTGTTTTAAAAAAAAAAAAGTTTAACCAAGATGAATAAAAGATGATCATTGTAAGCACCCCAGGCAGCATTATATGGCTTGTCTCAACCCTGTAACTGTCACATTTGCTGAACCCCTGGTCCTGGTACAGGAAGTGGAAAATAACAGATCTATTGGCAGGATCAACAGGTAGTAAACTACGTTACAGAGGAAACTCCAAAAAAACCTGCTGTGTTAATGCTGCTGACAGACTGCAGCATAGATGTTATTTTTTTAATTGCTCAAAGTTCTACATTTTGTGGATTTTTGTATTACAACAGCTGTAGAGCCAGGATTGGGTTTGCTTTTGAATTCTCCTCCTGTAAGTCCCTGCAATGGGATGTTCTATGGAAACGTTGTATCTGAAAATTATTATTTTACTGCAAATCTCTGCAGCTTCTGAAAATAAAATCTGGAACAAATATATTAAAAAACCTGCTTTTTGGAATCTTACCTTCCGTATGAAAAAAAAAAAACAATCAGCCAAATTGTTCCAAAAAAAGACATTTTTAAGCACTTTTTTTTTTTTTCTTTTTCAAAAATTTGAATGCGATCCCGGTTTATTGCAACATCAGTGGGAGCGACATTGTTAGTGATCTGATACTCTGTGAGCACAGGAGTTCTACCAGTCCAAATCATAGCAGGCAGTATTCTCACTATACTCCGTATTGCGGTTATATCCAGAGATGTTGAATCAGGAACCAACCAATGCGCCGGTCACGAAAATTGAGTGTTTGTTTTTTTTTTTTTTGTTTTGTTTTTTTTTTTTAGCTGTGTTCCTTTGTTTTCATACATGTCATCTGCACATTTTTGTGCTTTTTTATATGTCATCAAAGGGTTTTTTGTTTGGTGTCCAATAATTGGTTTTGTTCATTGTGTTTGATTTTAGATTTCCTTGTGCTGGTAATATTGTAATTGCTATGTTTTGGTTACATCAGAGTTTCTTCTGACAGTTAAGTTGTTCTAGAAGTTGACTAAGTGCTTTTATTTGCCCCTTTCTGAGGTGCCCAAATAGGGCTTTTGTACAACCACTCTCCTGCCGAACGGGTGCGCATGGCAACCTGTGCTGAACAAAATGGATGCAGCTGTATCAGCCGCTTTCATTGGTGTTAAAGTACTCTTCTCACGCGACTGATGAGATCTGCCGCTGTTCCTCCTGCTCTCCTTCTGTGTCACCCATCAAGGGCTGTCGTTTCTTTAGCTCTCGGTGGTACTTTGCCATTAGTGAAGCATAGATGCATCCATACGCTGCTGCCACTACCATCATGATGCAGACCACACCGCAAACCACTCCCGCGATGATCACAGTACCGATGGCTCGCCGGACACTGGCAGGGCGATACTTCTGTTTCTGTGGGCAGTCGGGCCCTGGGTCTGGCTCCGCAAGGGCAGGGCTTGCCTTTGTGCAGGGGAGGGATGGCCTGTCTACTGGTCCAGAGCTGTTTTCGTCTTCTAGCTGCAAGCAGTAATTAAACATCTCGACGGGGACCATCCGCATGTCCCTCCCGCGCAGGTCCTTGGGGAGGGTGCACTGCAGCTCATCAATTTTACCTCCTGTATTGGCAGACGTAAACATTGTAGTTATTCAAAGCTCACATGCTTGCAAAATATAAATATGGAAAACTGTTTCACTGTACAATCTTTCAAAAACATTTGAAAGCATCCTTACTGAGACAGTAATATAAATGTACTTTGCATAATTATTTTACACACTAGAAAATGTACAGTTTTTATTGACTTCTTCAGCACACTTCACAGACCTTAGACAACTTTCCTAAAGCTAATCTCCAGCCTTGCCTTCAGTCTTGAGCACTTGTACATGCTCCTGTCCTGTACAAAAATTTCACTGTATACTATGAGCTTCTCATAGTGTGTATTAGAAGGTGCAGCAAGTCAGATAGAGCCCTCCCTATCTCCTTGTTGGTCATTCAACATCTTCTAGCCCAGTGGTCTCCAAATTGTACCTGAGGGCCGGACATGGCCCTTTGCTAGCCCTTAATCGGCCCTTGTCGCACTATTCCTCCCACTGATATCAACAGTGGGGTATAATTCCTGCCACTGACACCAATGATGGGACACTATTCTTCCCACTAATATCAATAATGGGGCACTGTTCCTCCCACTGATACTAACAATGGGACACTATTCCTCACACCAGCACCAACAATAGGGCACTATTCTTTCCCATTGATACCAATGATGGGGTACAGTTCTTTCCAGTAATACCAATGATGGGCTACTATATCTCCTTCTGCTGATTGCAGGCACTATGTAACTGACTACTAACCCTAAGGTAAGGTTAATTCTCACTGATGCTGGGTCCAGGACATTTTCGACCCACCTTGGTCATGATCTGGCCCTCCTAAAGTCTAAATGATAGTAAACTGGCCCTTTGTTTGAAAAGTTTGGAGACCCCTGTTCCAGCCCATTGCTCCCCAGTCCACCAATTTTTATTCATTGGATTTCAGTTCTTTAAATCATTAAAGCTAAACATCATATGTGGGTGTTACCTAGGGTGGTCTGCATGGAAATGTAGCCTGCCTAGAATCCAGACTGGTATCCATTCATCAGGACATTTTGATATTTGCATAACTTCTCCTAAGAACCATCCCACTACTTGCACCAGGAATGACTGCTCTTAAGAGGAGTACTAAGACAGCATATTCTAATGATTTCAGGAAGATATGTGTAGCACCCTGCGAGCCCTGACCGCCAGCTATGATCTGCTTGCGTTGCATCGGAGAAGCACAGAGACCCAGTGATGATCACTGGGTCTAAAACAAGGCATGTAACATTAAATGGAAAGATTTTATTTAAAAATGTAAATGAGGAGGGAAAAGGGGAACAATGGAAGACAAAATGAAAGTAGATTTAACTTCAGCTTTCAAAACCAGCTCCAACAAAAAACAAAGAGAGAAGGGCTGAAACTTCATTTGGGTTTTATTGCTGTCTGTGACTCCATTAAAATAAACTTTTCTTCACTTCCTGTGTGGTTACTAAGACAGAAAATGGGAACAATCTTTGCAATGGAAACACATACACCAATAAAAGCCTAAAGGGAATTTTGAACCCTTTCCCACTGCTTCCCAAAGTAAAAGAAAAATATCTAGCTATTGAATCTATTTCTCATGATTTGCTATTTTAGGTCATGGGTGGATTTGTTTGTCTCCACCTAGGATGGTTCTTTTCCAGCTTTCCGCACTAAACATGTCATACATTCTCATTGTTTATGACAATTAGAAGCTACCAATACTTTTGGAACCAAAAACCCCTGTGATTGTCTATGTGATTCTCAGTTTTTGTAAATTGACTTTTACATACAAAATACAGCGAAAATGGATAATGGAACCGGGACAAATTAAGCTGACTTGTGCAATGAAGTCTTTCAGTGAATTGCAATCAGAAATTAGCTTTGATGAATTGACACTGCTGTGCTTTAAGATAGAATTCTCTTTTAATTTCTTGGTCACAATTGTGCCATCTTTGAGGAGTGTGATTGTGGCAGATGTAAAAGCGGTAACAGCCCTCGTTGCGCCAGACTGTGGATAATAATCTCTGAGCTCTGTGACAGCGAACAGGTGCTCTGCTTTATTACAAAATCATATTACTTCTTAAGATCACTCTATAGTACGGATGGTGTTTGTGGGAAACGATGATCCATGTTCTGGAACTTCGGGAATAGTAAAAAAAAAACTTTGGGGCTGCATGCTGTCATAACAAATTCAAAGGACAACTGTAGGAATGTGGAATACAGCACTAGAATGGAGGAACAAACACAGGAAAGGAAGGTAGCCTGGGCCGGTGGACTTGAAGAACTGATATAAATGAAAGAGTACTTCTTGTATAAAGTAGAAACTCCAGCCAGAACTTTAGTATTGAGTATTGGATAGTGTGGGAAACCTGGCAGTTGATAGAACTCAGCTTCATCTTGCCCTACACCAAAAAATATAAACCAGTATTTGGTTGGAGTTTCACTTTAACCTGCAGTACATATGGACACTGGACCACCCAACACTTGATCTACAACAGATACAACCATCTATCAAGTAGCGACACAAGGCAGCTCCCAAATGTTAATGTTGGCTTATACAGTTTTATCTGATGCTTCGTAGTATGGTCCATCACCTCTAGATACTTTTGCTACTGTATCAGTTTTCATTTACAATATACTGTATGTATCATTTTTATATATAGAACCGCACAAGAGCATCCATTTAAAGTTATTTGTTTTGGATAGAATAGTAAAGGGTTACAGTCCCTTTTATTTTTTGATTTGGCTGTCTGTATGGAAGTGAGAGGAAATCTCTTAAAAGTTTGCAGAAATACTTTCTCACTTTTAAGTGAAACAGGTGTCCCTTTTTGAAGATTCTCCTTCACCTCCATGTTGCAGTGACAGCTGGAACATTTTGGATTTTCCATCATTTGCCGTGCTGGTGACAGGGGTCTCCAGGACACCTAGAGAGAGTGATCACTCCAGCAGGGACACAAATAGCAGTATAACAAAAAGAAACCAAGAAAAACATGGCACAAGCTCTGCATAGTGTAGTAAATTATTAAAAGCTTGTAAATGTATTACGACCAATAGAATTGCACACACAAAGGTAACTGAAGTTAGGCGGGTGAGTGTAGCGAAACCATGGGAAGGGACTCGGCAACATCAGATAGTGACCTTTCAACCTTGGCCATAGGCATGGTGGAGAGATGAAAGCCAAATGCCAGCACCACTGTGGAATTCCTGTGAAAGTATGGCAGCAGAACCAGGAACCTCCTCCACCTGACGTCATTCCTTGGACATACACAGTTGGGAACACGTTTTGAGGTGTCCACACCTCTTATTCTGCAAGGCTGATGTTGCCGGTTCCCTTCCCATAGTTTCACTGCAGGTACGCTCACCCACCTGACTTCTGTTACCTTTTTGAGTGTATTTCTATTGGTTGTAATAAATTTACAGGCTTTTAATAATTTACTAAACTGCAGAAGTTGTGCTGTGTTTTTGTTGATTCCTTTGTGCTTCAGATGAAGTTCCCTCTCCTGCTCATCTGTTGACATATTTTGCATATTTAAAAAAAATTATCTTTATTTAGTTCTGGGCTACCAATGCCATTTAATCTTTTTGTGTGTTTCTTGATTGTTTTGTGTATTTTTTGTGTTACCTATTTGATATCCCACTGTCACAGACTCTTTTTGATAGCTTTCACTTATGGTAGTTGTGGTTAAATGCTGTTTATCCCGTTGTATTCCCATGGGATCATTAAACTTTCTGCCTGTTAACCTTCAGTAAAACAGAGTTTTTAAACCTTTCCCCTTGTTTCCATACTTAAAAAATTCAGGCCTCAGACCCCACATTGGCTTGCATTACAGGTTTTTTTCCTGGCCTAAGAAGCCTTCATGATGGGCAGTTGTAGAAGTTGTAGTTGTTTTCAAGGGTGTTGGCCTCATTGGTTCTATTAAAACAGCGTGACTGTGGAAGATCCTGGAGACTAAATAAGCAAGATAGTCTGAATTCTGAATTCAATGTGGAAGCATAGTTACCTACCTCTGTACGAGAACCACTCCATCCAATGTTTGAAGTCTCGTAGGTTGCAGTCACACTCCCATGGGTTATCACCCAGCTGAATGCTCTCCAGGCTGGCAAGAGGCTCAAAAGTCATCCTGTCCAAACTCTGCAGCCGATTGGAACGCAATGATAACCAATGGAGTGTTGATAGGTCATCAAACAATCCTGAAGGTAACTGAGACAAAAAGTTGAGGGACAGGTCCAGTCTACGAAGCTGTGGCAGGCCTTGCAGGAGGTCCCGCTCTATACTGCGGATGCTGTTGTTCCGAAGACGAATTTCGGTGAGGTTCCCCAGATCCGCAAAGAGGCCTGGGGGTAACTGGTCAAGGAAGTTATTGGAGAGGTCCAACCGGTGCAGAGATGTCAAGTTTGAGAAAGGTCCTCCAGCAAGAGAGGTTATGCGGTTGTTGAGCAATAGAAGGATTCGGATGTCCTGGGGGAGATCGGGTGGTATAGATGTGAGTCCTCTGCCACTGCAGTCCACCTCCATGCTGTCAGAGTTACAAATACACGGTGAAGGACAGGAGAGAAAGGAGGAGGCTGCACACAAGGATAGCGAGCAGACCAGGACTGAAAGACAAATGAAGAACATCAGAAGAGTGCAAAAACACATAGAGGTTTAGTAAGGTAATTCAAGTGGCCAAACCAAGCATACCAAAAAAGACAATTGGGTTTGTGGAGAAAACGTTAAAGTTAAATGGCCAAATCAAATTTTTAAAAAATGTGACCACAAGAAACAGAGGAAGCTAGGAATAGGTAATTAAAAAGAGTACATATAATGTTACAATACATTCTTGAGCAACTGGCAGACATCTTTAGTATAGGACTTGTCCAAAAGATTGTGAATGTCTAATCATCATACCTACTATGTGGCCAAAAATATGTGGATCCACCCTTTCAAGGATTACGTTCAGGTGTTTCTAGTGAAAATTACTGTTAATACTACAGCATACAAAAGACATTTTAGGACAGTTGTACTCTTCCAACCTTGTGGTAACAGTTTGGGGAAGGTCATTTTGTGTTCTAGCATGACTGTGCCCTTGTGCATAAACCCATCTCCATAAAGACATGGTTTGACCAGTTTGGTATGAAAGAACTTGATTGGCCTGCTATGACCTCACCCGATTTGACCACCTTTGGAATGAACTAGAGTGACCATTGCAAACCAGGTCAGTACGTTACCTCCTCCAAACCTTTGGCTTAATAGTCTAAAAGCTACAGTGTGCAATGCATGGTTAAACTAGAACTTACCATTCACTAATCAGCATTACAGCAAACATCTGTAATTTTAAAAAAAAATGCAATTTCAGACAAAGCTTCCCTGGTTTTTAAAATTTGCTGTTACGGTATATATAAAGTCAAAACCTTTGAGAAGAAAAGTGAGGTATTTAAGCCTTGCCCTACTCCTATCCAAAAAAACATTTGCCATGAGATACACTTGTATACAGTGGGGAAAATAATTATTTGATCCTCTGCTTATTTAGTAGGTTTGCTCACTTACAAAGCAATGAAGGGTCTATAATTTTTATCATAGGTGTATTTTAAATGATAGAGGCAGAATATCAACCAAAAATCCAGAAAAAAACACACAATACAAATGTTATGAGTTGTAGTTCAGTGAGTAAGTAATAAAGCATTTGATCCCCTACCAACTAATAATAATTCTGGCTCCCACAGACTGGCTATGTGGTACACAGATTAGTCCTGTCAATTTAAGAAGTTGCTCATAATGACAACTTGTTATGAGTATAAAAGACACCTGTCCACGGAATCTTTCTTGGGCACCACCATGGGCAAGACAAAAGAGCTGTCATAGGACTTCAGGGACAAGAATGTAGACCTGCACAAGGCTGGAATGGGCTACAAGACCATCAGCAAGAAGCTTGGTGAGAAGGAGACAACTGTTGGAGCGATTATTCGTAAATAGGAGAAATACAAAATAACCATCAGTCGCTCTTGCTCTGGAGCTCCATACAAGATTTCACTTCATGGAGTAAGGATGATCATGAGAAAACTGAGGGATCAGCCCAGTACTACACGGGAGAAGCTTGTTATTAATCTCAAGGCAGTTGGGACCACAGTCATCAAACAAACCATCGGTAACACAATATGCCGCCATGGATTGAAATAAATCCTGCAATGGCCACAAGGTCCCCCTCAAGAAGGCACATGTACAGGCCTGTCTGAAGTTTGCCAGTGAACATCTAAATGATTCAGAGAAGGATTGGGAGAAAGTGCTGTGGTCATATAAGACCAAAATTGAGCTCTTTGGCATAAATTTGACTCGCCGTGGTTGGAGGAAGAAAAATGCTGACTATGACCCTAAAAAACACCATCCCTACAATCAAGCACATTGGCGGAAGATGGGTTGTGGATGGGTCTTCCAGTATGACATTGACCAAAACATACCGCCAAGACAACAAAGGAGTGGCTTACGAAAAAGTGCATTAAGGTCATGGAGTGGCCTAGCCAGCCTCCAGACCTTAATCCTATAGAAAATTTATGGAGGGAACTGAAACTTCAAGATGCCAAGCGACAGCCAAAAAACCTTAAGGATTTAGAGAAGATCTGTAAAGAAGAGTGGACCACAATCCCTTCTGAGATGTGTGCAAACCTGGTAACCAGCTGCAAAAACTTCTTACCTCTGTGCTTGTCAACAAGTTTTTTCTCCACCAAGTACTAAGTCATGTTTTGCTTGGGGATCAAATAGTTATTTTACTCACTGAACTGCAACTCAATTTATAACATTTGTATCGTGTTTTTTTCTGGATTTTTAGTTGATATTCTGTCTCTGTCATTTAAAATACACCTATGATTAAAATTTTAGACCCTTCATTTCTTTGTAAGTGGGCAAACTTACAAAATCTGAAAGGGTATCGTATAATTATTTTCCTCACTGTATGTAGCAAAGTGTACATGCTTTGTTCCTCTTGTTTAAGATGCCTAAACCTTGTTTGTTGCCTTTGTTCAACAGAGTCAGCTTTTATAGATATTTGAACTTGTGGTGGTCAACATCCTCTTGGCACATAGTACACCTTGATCTTGGAACTCTTTAATTTTTCCCACGTTAGGCAGGTTATCCTAACATTCAAGCTCATAAATATCAAACAGAATAGAACATTTGCAGTTGTCTTTTCATTTCTCATTCGAAACCTCCAGTGGCTGAAAATGTCTTTTCTTCCTGCTCATACCTTCTTAGCCTCTACTACAGGTCGCCAGTGAAGAAGTGATGATTGACTGGCCTTTGGTAAAGATTTAAGTTGCAAGTGTCTGCAAAGCTGGCTGGTTCCCCATGAGTGGGAAAGCTGACACAGGCCCTACCCCATTCATTTGATTTTTGAGTTTGCTGTCTGTCCATTGTAGCATTATCAGGATGATAAAACAGTTGTGCCATCCCCATTTAGGATAGGCAAATGTTCACCAAAAATGTGGCTGCTATGCTTTTTATGCAGTGTCTAGAGCAGGGGTGGGCAAACTTTTTGACTTGAGGGCCGCAATGGGTTCATATATTGGACCCGGGGGCCGGACCAAGAGTAGATGAATGATGTGTATGTGTGAATTAATATAAATTAAATTAAAATTTGTAACATTTCATCCTCCATAGTACTATTCCCCCCCAAGTAGTAAGCCAAGTCCCCCCTGTGTCAATTTACTTACCGTATTTTTCGCCGTATAAGACGCACCTGACCATAAGACGCACCTAGGTTTTAGAGGCAGATAACAGGAAAAAAAAAATTCTGAACTAATGGACTGCAGACACAGTACAGGAGATGACCAGAGACTGCAGACACAGTACAGGGATGACCAGAGACTGCGGACAGCACAGGGATGACCAGAGACTGCGGACACAGTACAGGAGATGACCAGAGACTGTGGACAGCACAGGGATGACCAGAGACTGCGGACAGCACAGGGATGACCAGAGACTGCGGACAGCACAGGGATGACCAGAGACTGCGGACAGCACAGGGATGACCAGAGACTGCGGACAGTACAGATGACTGCTGACCTTTGGGGAGGTGGGGAGCGGGTACCTGAATTTGACAGGTACCCGCTCTTACTTCCGCGAAGTTTTTGTTTGATCTGACCTGTTCCTGGATCCAGCCGCGCGCTGTCTTCCCGGTTTCTGTAATGGCGCTCGGCATGACAGCCGGGTGCCCAGTGCGCATGAGCGAGAAGCACTTGCGCTTTGTGATTGGTCCGGCGGCTTCTGGGATCTGTCATGTGTCCCAGGTACTGCCTTACCATTCACAAAAAGCACCGCTTCTTGCGCATGCGCACTTGGCACCCGGCTGTCATGCCCACACTACAGAAGCCGGGAAGACAGCACGCCGCTGGATAGAGGAACAGGTAAGGTCCCGCTGCAGAGCTGAGCGGCCGGCCCGGTATTCTGACACGGCCACGGTGGAAATACCGGACCGGCCGCTCCATATTCGCCCCATAAGATGCACTGACATTTCCCCCCCAGTTTTGGGGAAGAAAAAGTGCGTCTTATACGGCGAAAAAATACGGTACCTTTGCTCTGCGCGTTCCTCTCGCCATGTTCCTGCTCCGTTCCGGTCTTCAGGGCGGACTGTGAGAGGAGCCTAGCTCCCCTCACGTTCGGCACGCTGCCCCGCCTACACACATCCTGACAGCCAATCACTGGCTATCAGGATGTGAGTGGCAGCGAGACTGGCCAATCATTGCATTTGAGCGCGCTGAATGATGCAAATGTTTGCCTGCCCTGGCTGTTTTTCTTTTGTATCACGCTCCGCGGGCCGGATTAAAAGGTCCGCCGGGCCGTATATGGCCCGCGGGCCGTAGTTTGCCCATTCCTGGTCTAGAGCATAAGCTTGCTAGTTTTTAGGATGAACTTTTAGTGCTAAAAACCTAAACTATCACTAAGGCTAGTATCACACGCATATGCGTTTTGTTGCATTTTTGCTGAGTTTTTTACTGCATTTTCAGTGCGTTTTTAAAGGATATGTGACGTGACAGTCGCATTTTTGTTTTCCCCCCCCCCCCCCCCCCCCCCCCCGTTCGTTCTCTAAGATCCTTAAAGTGGAACTTCACCCAAAAGGGGATGTTCCGCTTGTTTATATCCCCCCCCCCCCATCCACCACCCCCCCTCCACTGCCACATTTAGCACTTTTTGGAGGGGAGTGGGTACCTGGTTTTGACAGGTACACGCTCCCACTTCTGGTTCAGATCACTGTGGCAATATGTGAGAAGGTTCGGTCCCTCCTTCTTCCCCCTGCAACCGTCTGGATACGTACAGGTCCCAGCAGACTGCAGGACCATTCAAAAAGCGTGGCTTGAACAGTAGGAAACCAGTTGTGAAGCTGAAAGTCTTCACTTCCAGTTTCCCTTGCCTAAGATGCTGGCGCCTGCATTCGAAGCCTATTGAGAAATCAGCTCAGGTGAGGACATTGCTGGATCCCTGGACAGGTAAATGCCCTTTAAATCAGCAGCTACAGTATTTATAACTGCTGACTTTTAATTTTTTTGGGGGAGACTGGAGTTCCACTTTAAGCAGCTGAAAACAGAGGGTATGTGATCACTTATAAAAAATGGGGAAAAGGGTTTTTTATA